ATGGTGAGGGGAAGTGAAACCCTGTAAGAACTGGATACAACACTGTGAAAAAAGAAACAGGTATGACTGGAGGGATTTCAGACTTGCCTGTTGGAAACAGCAAACCCAGGAAGAAGCAGAAATTTCTTACCCTTTTGCGTAATCCATTTTGGAACAGAATAGTTTCAGTCATGCTCGGCTGGTCTCTTTTGAACAGTCTATTCCCCTTCCCCCCCCACTTTACTTTGGAAGTGTTTTGTCAACCTTCACTGCCAAAGAGTATTAGAATGAAATCCAGAAAGAGTATTGAGGGAGCAGGGGTGGAGAACGAGGGATGTGATACTCGAGAATGGGCAAGACTTGCTGGGTCACAAAATTCCCTGGGTAGTTGCTGGGCCACCTTCAGAGACCTGCCTTCATGGTGGGCAGCACCTTTTGCCTGGAAGTCTTGAGCACAGTGGAGAAATGCCGTTGCTCTTTCTTAGACAGGGAAACTGAGGCACAGGGTTGCTGGTGAACATCAATACGGTTGGAAAAGGCTTGATGTCACCACAAGGCATACTATAATGCCTATAATCTTTTATCAGTCTCTATGACACCACTGTCAAGGGTTTTTAAACCTAAAAAGCACATCATGACCTGACAGTGTCCCTCTAATTACAGAAGCCATTACAGATAATCAAAGTGATGTACCTCATCAGAAACTCTCTTTTTCAAATATTTAGGAATGCTGACAGAGCTTGAATTTTGGAACATCTGCATTACTTCTCTTCAAGAGCAACTAAAGCAAGTACTTGCACTCAACCTTTCTTTCAAAGACTTTTTCACTGGAAACAAATATTTTGATGAGAGGCAAAAGAAGCAGTTAATTTAAGTGTGTGTATCAAACATCAACAGCAGGCACGCACAAGCAAACAGTGCAGTGGGACTTTACTGAAAAAGCAAGCACTTGCAGCTTTTGAGAGTACATTTATTACAGATGTTTGCTGGAAAGAAGCTCAGCCCTACAGGATAAGGCCTTGAGGTCCAATGTGAGAAGAGAGAGAACTTTTTAGTCTGGAGAAAAGCAGGCATGGAGTGCACGTGTTTCTGGCAAGACACTAAGCAATTTTTCTCATCCTCTTTGGAAACCTCTGTGACTACTCTCTTTGACTACTTTTGAATTTTGCAACCTAATATTTGAATGCTGTGTTAATGCTGGGGGTGGATATGTTATTTTTATGCATCTCGTGAGTGAAAGAAGAAGTTCAGAGATCGTTTATTATCGAAACATAAACTGTTTGTGACACTAGTCTTTTCATACATGGGAGATTTTGAGAAGTTCCAGCTGAAATCCCCCTACACACTTTCCTTGTTGCTCTCAGAGGTTTCAGCAGCTCTGTGGGGTTTGAGTTTCTGTCTGCTGGCGATACAAAAAATGAGAAATACACACTTATTTTTCCTAGGCAGCCACAACCGCAGTAAAGAAATGAGGCTTTTTAAAAAATCAAACAACAAACAAGAAGTAGCAAAGCTAATGGTATACAAAGTCTAGCTTCCACTCTCTGGCACTTATGGCTTGGAGGATGCAAACAACCCTGTGAGGTGTACCTGGAATTGTACCAGGAGGTTATAGATGCCTTTTTGCATCCGGCACAAGCATTTTCCCCCTTTCACAGGGTTTGCTACACCTCATTCCTATGCAAATCTTTATTTACCTCACAAAAGGAAGAATAATCACTTTTCCTAAGAAGAATAAATAAAAGGTTTATTTCTTTGTTTGTTTAAAAGCAGAATTGCTAAATGAAAGTGGCGTGTTTGCTAGTGTTGGGAAAAATTAATTTCAGCATAAATATTGCACTGACCATTGTTATTTTTGTTATGTAAATAGTAATATACATATGGAGTTCTACTAAACATAATCATGGATACTTTCTTAATCAGAGAACATTCATAGCAACTCAGACTTGACTGAAACTATAACTGCAACTGCACTTAAATGGTTTAAAAAAGTAATATTCTCAGAATCAGGGACCTAGAAGTAGAGTGCAGTTCCAACCCCTATTCCATCAGCACACGCACTGAAGTAGAAGGCAGGCTGGTGAGCTGCCATACAGAAACCCGTGGACTGCACTCCCAAATAGAGCTAGATGCCTTTAGAGACCTTGGCCTGAGCAAACTGACCTAATCAGAGTAGAGGCTTGAACTAGATGACCTCCAGAGGTCTTTTCTGACCTAAATTATGATATGATTTTATGGCCAAGGATAAATAGGTGATTTTCCACATGGTACAGGTGTGTTCTTATGTGTTCAGATCTCACCTGGAGTTCTATCCAGGTTGAAAAAAGATTCCTGAACTCCCCTCCTTTCTCTGTTCCTTGCAATTGAAGTTTCTATAAATAGGAATCAACAAGCAGGCTTCATGTGAGTGAATAAGCATGAGTGATGCCTGTAGTTCATCCTGCTCACTGACTAAGATTGGGACAGCATCTGCAAATCTTCTAGGGCAAGAAAGAGTTCAGAATAAGTGATTTTTTGGTGAAGGTTTTGAGGGATACCATGATGCACTCAAAACTCAGCACTTAGAGGCAAGAAAGTCATACAAACTCAAACCCTCCACAGGTGAAATCCTGTGGTGTAACCACATACAAAATCACTGTTACTGTCTTGCATAAAAAAATGCATTTAGTCCTGTGATCTGCAACTCTACACACACCTCAAACAGCAGTAAAGCTAATCCTGCAGGTAAGTTTAAGGGAAAAGAACATGAATTGTAACTCATTCAAGCATATCAGCTCTTCCAGAGAGAGGAAGACATATAGCTTCATGGTTTCACTACTTACTGATTTTAACCCATCTATAATCACCACTTCTCAGCTGCGATGCTGTGGTGCAGCTGTTAATAACAGAACTGAAACAAAGATGTTTCTACCCCTTGCCCTTTATTTTTGTCTAGCTCTTCACTTCTAGATTGCTGCCTGATCACTTTCATGTTTATTTGCCACTGCTGGGGCTTTGGGAAGGGGGAAGGAAGATGAGACATCAAGCTCATCCTCCAAGATAATTCTAGATACAGACGTTCTTTGCTCAAATGTGGGCAGAAACTAATGGATTTTGTCCCTTTGTCATTTACAGCCATCTCGGACCCCAAAGTGGAAGCTAAACATATACCCAGTCCAGACAAAACTGAGGACTCTGAGAAAGTGGTGGGGATAAGCTGCTCAGCAACTGGGAAACCAGCTCCAAAAATAACCTGGCACCTTCCCAGCATCCTGCAGCAGAAGCCAAGGGAATACCATATCAAGTTCAGCAACCAGACCGTGACTGTCATCAGCAATTTCACCCACACCCACTCCAAAATCCTCCATGAGTACCCCATCGCCTGCGTGATCCAGCACCCTTCCCTAAACGTGACTCTGGTCCTGCCCACGGACAGCCTGCAGCAGGGTCAGTACGTAACTCTGCTCCTGATTTGAGGAGGGGGGGAGAAAAACCCCCTGGGGTAGATCACAAAACTCCTCAGAGGGTTCGGGGCAGGTGGGGAAGGCATCCTGAACAGCAGCCTGGGGCTGGGCTTGGGAGGGATGGAGGAGGTGCCTGAGAGTATTCGAATGCCCTGGGCTATGGCATACCATTTCTTATTGCTCCCTAGGTCCCCCCATATGCCATGATGTGCCCCAGCCTCCCTTCCTCTGTGATAGGTTTCCCTGTCACATAGCCTGATGCACCAACAAGATGTGCCAGTGTTGGGTAGCTTGGAGGGCTGGGTTTCTTACACCTAACCGTGACATCAGACCCCAAGCACAGGTCTGCTGGCACTGCTGCGTGTGTGTGTCATGCTGGCATGCACTCCCAGTGCCCCCATCCACCCCATCTCACCCCAGGGAATGGCCAAGGGATGTTTGAAATGGGTTTTGGGTTGTTCTTTTACTTCATGCACAAACTGAGTACCTGCTGCCTTCCCCACAGGTCTGGACAGCACCGTGGCACCCGCTATCGCCATTGCAGTGGGAGTACTGGTCCCCCTGACTGCCCTCCTCCTTCTCACCTGTCTCCTCTGCCACTGCCTCAGGCACCGATGTGACCTGGAGAGAAACCCAGCCTGGCCATGCTGGGTAGGTCTGCCTTTCCCCAGAGTGCTGCAGGGCTCAACCCCACCGGCCACAGGGCTCAGTACCACGACCCAGCTCTGCCCAGCCATACCAGGGCTACCTACACACTGCCCAGCCCGAGCTGCTCCTGGGCTGGAGAGAGACACAGGGATTAGCCCTCAGTCAGAGATTTGGGAAGCAGCACGCTGGGAAGGGGAAACCTGATTCTGCACAGCCAGGCCGTATGCTCCTGACAGCACTAGCAGCTAGAAAATATTCACTGTGCCAATGACAATGCATGCTGTGGCACAAGAGTCACTCCACCACTATATTTATGCACTAAATAGTTGTGCAAGCAGTGGCCAGACCCTTGCACCATTCTTCTGCAGCTCCTAAAACAACCTCCCTCAGCACGCCCAGTGCAGCTCACAAAGGCAGCAGCTTTGAGGATGTGTCTCAAACAAAACGGGGTCTTAGAGGAAAACTGTGCCTCTGTGAGGAAAGCCCAGGGTGCCATGCTGTGGTAGGGGCTGAGGCACTGCTGGTTGTTCACAGAGGCCATCCTGATGATGAAGGATGCAAGCTTGAGGTGGGGATACAATGAGTGAGGTGGCACCGTTTCAGAAAATCACAGCCCAGTTTTGAGAAGGTTCCTCATCCTTCTTGTAGGATATGACTGGTGTGTACAGCCTGACTTTTGATGAGCATTTTGGACAAAAAGAAGCAATGGAGGAAATGTAATACATGTCTTCCACAGGCACTATGCCCGTGGGTCCAAGCTGAAGACTGCTGGTGGGATTGCAAGGGGAAAACTTGAGGCTCCCCTCACACAGAGAGATGCAAGGACCCCTTTGACAATACATACAGCCAGGATCTGTACCCTCTCACTTACAACATCCCCGTATTTTTAAGAAATAAAACCAACCTCTCTTCCATCAGGTTCTTCCTGCCTGTAGCAAGGCCAAGAAGTGTGGGCAGTACGGAGCTGCAGGCAGGTGGGCTCCTGTGGGGTCCCCCAGCCCCAGTGCACCGCTGAACACCTGAGAAACTGCCCACGCTACACACGCAAGAGGGAAACTCTTACAACGGCACCTCAAGCTTCCAAGCAAACCTGCTGTGACTCTCTCCAAGAGTAACACAAAAAAGAAGGACAATTTATAATGGATATTTATTTATTTTGTTACACTATAACATTCCATTTTGTAGGAAAAAAAAAGCTGTAAAGTATTTATTTGAGATTCAGGCTGACTGTGTGGATCCACTTAATGAAACTTGTTCTCTGTATTATCTCGAGGTTTGAACATCACGTTTATTCCTTTTCTTGCAATATTTTAAGATTGCGAGCGGGTGGGGGAATTGTCTGAAACGGGGCAGCATTTTGTAGGGCTGGTGGCCTGGGAAGTGTTGCTAATGGACCAAATGAGACCTCAGCTAGGAGCTGGGCTGCAGAAAACCCATGGAGCAGCCCAGCACACTGCTGTGAGCTTCAAGAGTTGAACTTGTTCCTCAAAGGGCACAAGAGATCAGGCCAACACTGCAACCAGTCTGAACTTGTAACCCAGGCGCCAGGAGCAACAGGCTTCAAGCCAGGAGTCATCAGGCATGCGGAAGTGCCAACTCTGACTTGCACCGGCCTTTCCTAGAAAATGAAGCAAAAGCCAAAGCCACACGTGTTTTCTTTTCCCCTCTTCTTCAGTGGTTTCCACAGCCCCCTTCATAATTTCCCTGATCCATCACAGCTGCCTTGTGTTTCCAGGCAGCCCACCCACCTGCAGGAGGAAGCAGGGCAATAAAAGAGCAGGTGGAGGGGCAGTAGGGCTGTTTGGTGTGTTTTGTTTCTGTTCTGGTGTGGCAGTAGGTGAGTGCAGTGGGATGCAGGAGGCTGGTAGGTGTAAGGAGGTGGGTGCTGCATATGGGCAGATACAAACAATGACAGGGCAACAAGTATTACCTGCTGTGAAAATTCTTTGCTTATAGAGTGTAGGTCAGATCTGAGCTGTAATCTCCTGTAAGTCTCTGAATTGTGCCATATGCTCATGAAACCTGACAGAGCCAGAGAAGGAGAAATGAGCTTCCTGGCTGATGTTGGGCTTGTGGGGAGCATGAAGACTGCAAGTGCAGCATGTTTCCTCTCTTTCTGGCTTCCTGGAGCAAGTGCATGTCGTGGTTTTTCCTCATCCATCTATTTTCAAATGAGCATCCCAGATGAATCAGACTGAGTTGTAGTCAAAAAGCCAAGTAACCTAAAATGAAAGCAAGTGGGTGAGCTGAGAATGAATAAACTTGGTCCTTGCTATGAAATGCTTTTTTTAGGCTCCCTAACACTTAGTAATAGAGCAGCCGGTGACTGAGGGGAAAAGGGAACTGGCTGCAGCTGTCACAATTGGGATTTTTTTCTACTGAGCTCCATAACTTTCAAAGGAGGAAGCAATGTTTTTTTCCAAATTTTTCCACCATTGCAGCTTCATTTCTTCCTCTGTGAGGGAAGAGGCCAGGGGAGAAGCAGGTTTTACCCCTGGGTTCCTGTTCTCCCCCTGGAGAACAAGAAGGGGGTGAGAGCGCCTGGCACACCTTCTGAGCGGGTTGTGCAGCCTCAGCCCTTACCCTTCTGCACAATCTGCTCTTGCAATTTAGAGAGGCTTACCTGAGTCTGAACATAGTATTTCTGCTAATGTTTAGACTAAGGGGTCTTTAAAAAATTGGTGAAAGGATTCTCTCACAGAAACAGAGAGTCTGGACATGGATGATGAAAAGGGTTTTCTGAGGGAAGAGAGAAAGGCACAAAGTTGCAAAGAAACCTTTTCAAACCCAGGAAGGCGGCAAAGGTTACCTACTATTCTTTTCTACAAGCTGATCACCTGGAGTGGGGGAAAGGAGGGTTTGGAGTCATGAAAGTATCTGTTTATCTGTGGGATTGCAATTTCTTTTGCTTTTTATCTGAATGCTGAATTGTGAAAAGCTTTTGTGGCATGATAGGTCCAGAAATTGCGTAAAAGAGAGGGATGAGGCGGCTTACCCATAAGCAAAATTCTGCACAAGATTTATTTTTCTTTCACAATATTGGAATGAGAACAGCAAATGACCTCCAAAGGCAGAACACTTAAAACTAATGCATGTATTTGCCTTCATGCTATAGAAAGCCATCTTTGCTTTGCCATAAACTGCTGTGTGCTAGTGCAGTGTAGTTTGGCTTCATACAGCAACAAAATGAATGCAAGCATACAGACTATGGATAATTAATTGGCTTTCAGCTGTGGGAGGAAAAAAAGGATATGAAAAAAAGGCAAACCACCTTTTGTGGAACAAACAAGCACGTGACTGAGGGGATCACAAATTTTGACTGCGGGTGATGAACATCCCAACTGCCATTCTGAGGATTCTTCGTGGTCATTTTGTGCTTGTCTGCCCAGTTATCTCTGTTAACCATCTGACACTAATTCCTTGGAGGTCATATTTCAGGTGGATTTATACAGAAGCTTAGTATTTATTTTAATAAACAGATGGTTTTCATGAACAGATAGGTTTGATCCCCAACACCTTTTGGCTGCAGGGGCCCTGCATGGCTATGGGTGGGTGGGGTTGGTGTGGGGCTTGAGATGAGAAGCAGAAATAAAACTGGTAGGAAATTTAAGTAAAATAGACTGCTCTGCTTTGCTGCTCCAACACAGCCAATATGAAGCAGGTTAACCTTGTAAGTAAATGAAAGCTGAGCATATTTTCAACATTAACTCTACAGGAATGTTCTGAGCTACTACGGCCACCACAAAAAAAAAAAAAAAAAAAAAAAAAAAAAAAAAAAAAAAAAAAAAAAAAAAAAAAAAAAAAAAAAAAAAAAAAAAAAAAAAAAAAAAAAAAAAAAAAAAAAAGAGAGAGAGAGAAAGAAAGGCCTAGGAGTTTGTCTCTTTTGTGACTGGACAGTTGGTCTCACCTAACTCTGCCTTTGGCCACCTCTTGTCACTACCACTTGTCCAGCCCAGGGCAACAGTCGTGTCGCTGCAGGGCATAATTTCTCCTAATAGATGGAAAGAAGGAAAGTGAGAATGTCACCCTTCTGGTTGCCTCTTACTGGGGTAAAAGTGGCTCTGGGTAATGTGTTTCTCTTTATAAAGCAAATTTAGCCTGCACCTCTCAGCTCTGGGATCCTTTGATCCTTTGATTAACCAGTCTGGGTTAAGGTTTTAACTCATGTAAGGAGTGTCCTTTTTAACTGACGGTATATTATATATATATATATATAAATATGTTGATATATAATGAAGGGTCCTCAGGCTGTATAAAATGCCCGTGTTCCTGTTTTGGCATGTCAGGATATTTCAAAAATGTATTGTGTTGGTGTTTTTCTCTGCCCAGTACTGGGTTCCTGGTTCTAAGAGAGCAGTAAGGTGCAAATTAATTGCCCCAACAGCTCTGGCTGAAGATGTAAATTTGAAATGTAGCAGAAATGCTGGCCTTAGATAGTTTATAAGTCATGGCTGAAATAGGAAGAATACTCTTCTTCTGAAACCACTACTGGCAGTGGGCTGGGACTAAATTAATACAGTAAAAAGGAAATTTGTTTTTCCTGTATGGATTTAGTCCCAAAACTAACTTTGTTTTGATGATAGAAGTTTGAAAGCATCATTCCTCAATTCTCTATTGCATGACCCTAGGGGAATGATTCACCTAAATACCACACCAGCAAATTTTCTTACCAACTCAGACACGGAAGAAAATATAACCTATTGTTTTTAATTCAGTTTTCAGCACTTGAGCCCTGGCAACAGCTGAAATAAGAGAATTGCACTAATTGAGTACATATTTCTCTTTCATAAATGAGACTATCAAACCAGGCAGATACAAAAGTATATTTTTTTTTCATTCTCAGTATACCAGTAATTACTCACATTCTGGAAGCCATACAAAGGGCTTTTTCATATCTCTGCTTCCTTCATCTTTGCTGATGTAAAGCTCTGTGTGAATGGAGCACTGAACTTTTGCCCAAGTGTTTGTGGACAAGAGTTTGGTTTGTGGACTCTGTTGCAGTC